TGGACGGAGGGATTTACGCGGGGACATAAATAAATATGTACACGCCTATGATATTATAGAGCTGTCCTGCTTTTTGACGCCTGATCTGTGGATAGTGAGGGAGAAAACGGGAGAAAAGGTTGCGAAGGTGCCATTCAGATCTGTTGATGTGTGGGTATATTACTCATAATGCTATTAAGTATTAAAAACTCGCATCATATGTTTGAATAGCAAAGTTGTTGTTGTTTTTTTCCACAGTTTTTTTTAAATCCTAAATTGCACACTATTCATGTTATATAGAATAATATGCAAGATTAGAGTAAAGATTAGTAGTGTGTACCAGATCATGTTTAAAGTAGTATGCCAATGATGATAAGCTATGTCAGAAGTATACATAAACAGGTGCATCACAATAAATTAGAATGTCGTGGAAAAGTTCATTTATTTCAGTAATTCAACTCAAATTGTGAAACTCGTGGATTAAATAAATTCAATGCACACAGACTGAAGTAGTTTAAGTCTTTGGTTCTTTTAATTGTGATGATTTTGGCTCACATTTAACAAAAACCCACCAATTCACTATCTCAACAAATTAGAATACTTCATAAGTGTAAAAAAAAAAAAAAAAACATTTTTAGTCAATTGTTGGCCTTCTGGAAAGTATGTTCTTTCAGCTAATATTATCCATAAATCATTGTGCTACAGAGGATGAGTTTGCCAGTTTTATTTGATCTTTTGATGATACCACTGCATTTTTTAAATTGATATGTGGATCTGAAATTAATATTAAAAATTCATATTCATCATGGTCAAAGGAAAGATTTGTTAATGTTTTTGAAAGAAGTCTCTTATGCTCATAAAGGCTACATTTATTTGGTCAAAAATGCAGTAAAAACAGTAATATTGTGAAATATTATTACAGTTCCAAGTAACTGTTTTCTATTTGAATATATTTAATTTATTCCTGTGATGCAAAGCTGAATTTTCAGCAGCCATTACTCTAGTCTTCAGTGTCTCATGATCTTTCAGAAATCTTTTTAATATTCTGATTTGGTGCTCAAGAAAAAAATTGTATTATCAGTGATGAAAACAGTAGCGCTGCTTAATATTTTTGTGGAAAAAGTAATTTTTTTGAATTTTGAAAAAAAAAAAAATCCCAGAATATTTAATGAATTGAAAGTTAAGAAAAACGGCATTTGTAATTTTGGGTAACAAAATATCTCAATTGTCACAGTATGTCTGTGCTGACTAAAATTATTCATTTCTTAATTGCAAAAAAAGAGAGAAAAAAATACTGAGCCCAAAGTTTTGAACAGCACTGTACCTTTATATTTCATTTAAATGTATATAATTTAACAATTATGTAATTCTGCAATTTTTAAGGTTTTTAAAACACAGTATAGTGCGTATACATAATATGCTTTTTTGACTAATATTGTCCACAACCCTTAAACTTTGAAAAAGGAGTTTGTGACTCTTCCCAATTTCTCAAGTATAAATGGACCAAAGGGGACTACCATACTAGTTTTTATAATGTGGTGGTCCCAGTATTGCCGTACTGTTTTATTACATACCTAAAATTATGTACTGTTCCATCACCGGTAAAGTACCTTTAGCGTATAGAAGTACAATTTTCTGTCTTGTTTTATCCATTTCTCAACTCTAATGTGTTTCTTTTTGCCTTTTTCTGATGTTTTTTTTTTCCTGTGACAGTCTACAAGAGGGATGATGTGTGATAGAGAGCAGCTGTGTGTATTTAAGTGGACGGATTGAGGAAAGGACAGAGAGATATAGAAAGAGAAGGATAAGAAAAGAGAGAGGCTGAATCCCCAAGTCCTTCCGGGACCCAAAGAGTTGAGATGGTGACTGACAGCGGGCGTCCATTCACTCCTTCATTCATCCGCCCTTCAGAGCAGCTAATATGAATGACGGCATGGATTAAACCACGTCTGATCTAGAAAGAGTGCCTCTCTGAATAGAGCAGGATAACATCTCCCTCCCGCCCCAATCCTTTCTTTGCCTTTTGCTGTCCCAAAGGTCAACCCTGTCAAATGAAGAGTTTTGTGTGTGTGTTCTAATCCTCCGGGGACAGAGGTGATGTTTCGTTTTAGGCCACATTGGTCCTCGGATTTCATGGGAACCGGGTGGTCTTCGTTTGTATGCCCAGTGTGACCCGCTGTATCCTCTGTATCTCATTCAGAGAATGATATTTGGTTGAACATTTGCTCTTTTTGTGACCTCGAAGGATGGACGAGTTGTTAGATAGCGATCTGCAAGGTCTTGCAAAATCCAGCAGGAAACTCAATGCTGTCTGGGTCAAAGTTGGATATTCTGGGGTGTTGGCAAATACATTTTGGAAAAAGCGCTCGAGTTCACATGTTGCTTGCTAAGTATCACAGTGGTAGTTTCTTCCAAAATGCCATTAGAGTTGCATACAGATATTATTGCTACATTAAAGGGTTAGTTCACCCAAAAATGAAAATTAGCCCATAAATTATTCACCCTCAAGTCATCCTAGGTGTATATGACTTCTTTCAGATGAATCCAGTCAGAGTTATATTAAAAATTGTCTTTGATCTTTCAAGCTGTTTTCATGGCACTCAGCGGGGTGTTGCATGCATCCGTCCAAAAGCAGTTAAATAAAAAGCGCCCATCCATAAAAAAAAAGTGTCTCACACGGCTCCGGGGGTTGAACAAAGGCCTTCTGTAGCGATCCATATTCAAAACGTAATAATCACTTTAATCTAGCTTGAGCCAACAGTTGTACACTGAAGCAGTTCCGGGGGAATGACGTATGAGGTCAGCGCTGCGCATGCGCCAGTGAGTCTCGTGAAAACCAACGTTTGTTAACAGGATCAAAGGAAGCAAAGTTTCCTTACTTTAGCAAAAGAAAACCAGTCTCCTCTTGGCTTATATCGAAATCCTCTGACATTCTTCTTTACAAATCCTCGTTTTGTACTTCTAATTAGTGACCGTTGTTTTGTTTTGATCTCTCCCCTGCGCTTCCGCATAACAGTAAGCATATAAACTGTTTTTGGCACCCATTTCTTTACTTTTAGTTACGATTGTGAAAGGTACTTACTGGTTAAATGATTGGAATAATAACAAATTTTTATCTATTTAACAAAAATTTAGCATTGATAATAATAAACATTTCTTGAGCACCAAATCAGCATATTGCAATGATTTCTAAAGGATCATGTGACACTAAAGACTGGAGTAATGATGCTGAAAATACAGCTTATACATATACATTTTTAAAATATATTAAAATATAAGAATTATTTTAAATTGTAATATTGTAAAACTGAATAATATTTGACAATATTACTGTATTTCTGATTCAATGAATGCAGCCTTGGTGAGCATAAGAGATTTCTGTCAAAAACAATTTTAAAATCATAGTTATTACAAACTTTTAGCCTCTAGTATATATTTTCATTGTCATTGGTCATAGGCATGTTTGACCAATGACATGCCTTGGTCAGACCCCCCCCCCCGATAATCCATAGCAATCCTTCCATTGTGAAATGAGACATAAGAAAAATAAAGAAAGGATAGATAGATAGATAGATAGATACAGTGGGGCAAATACATATTTGATACACTGCCGATTTTTCAAGTTTTCCCACTTACAAAGAATGGAGAGATCTGTAATTTCCATCGTAGGTACACCTCAACTGTGAGAGACAGAATTTAAAAAAAATCCAGAAAATCACATTGTATGATTTTTAAATAATTAATTTCCATTTTATTGCATGAAATAAGTATTTGATCACCTACCAACCAGCAAGAATTCTGGCTCTCACAGACCTGTTAGTTTGTCTTTAAGAAGCCCTCCTATCCTCAACTCATTACCTGTATTAATTGCACCTGTTTGAACTCGTTACCTGTATAAAAGACACCGGTCCACACACTCAATCAATCAGACTCCAACCTCTCCACTATGGGCAAGACCAAAGAGCTGTCTAAGGACACCAGGGACAAAATTGTAGACCTGCACAAGGCTGGGATGGGCTACAGGACAATAGGCAAACAGCTTGGTGAGAAGGCAACAACTGTTGGCGCAATTATTAGAAAATGGAAGAAAATCAGAAGAAAATGGACAGTCAATCTCCCTCGAACTGGGGCTCCATGCAAGATCTCACCTCGTGGAGTATCAATGAATTCAAACATTTAAGGAGAACATTTTTTTGTCAAAAAAATTAATTGATATTGCTGTCTAACATCAGACAATATATTTATCAGATTTATCGGTGCAGACTGTTGGGCTCAGACACATGGTACAGCTGGTGGGTTTAGACGCAGGTGTGTGTGTGTGTGTGTGTCAGTAAGGGAGCATTTTGCCACTGGAGAATCTACACATCAGAGACACAAGCTGCACTGATTAATACTGCTTTCAATTGTCTGGGTGGGTGGGAGTGTGGGTGGCTTTACTTAGCTGTACTTAGGGGACAAAACTGTCAGCAGAAGTTAACTAAATCTGACAAATTCCCTGTGGAGACATATGTGAAGGTCATCAAAAGTAAAAAATGATTAATACATTAGGTAAATAGTGTTTTTATTTAGGCCTATTGTAAAAATGCCAAAACGTTCATTTAGGTTTGAGTTTAGGTTAGTAACTGTAACCAGCTTTATAAAAACCTATGGCATATGTTGATTTAGGTTGAATATGTGTGATTCAGGATGTCTGCGGCCTCTATGGCTGATGTATGTCTTGAAGCGGCACCTCGTTAGACCTCCAGCACTGTGATTCAACGTGCAATTATGCTGCAAACTAATTCTGCACCAATCCATTCTGCTATTGATTAGTGATTGATCTGATGTTTACTTGTGAAAACAAAGCAAGAATATAATTTAACAGCTCTTTGTCACTGCCACAGGATCAGTTTATTAAAAATGGAAAATGTAATTATGATGGATGACCACATTCATTTGTGAAATATATCTGCCCTCTGACTGTTTTTACTCTCTCCTTCTTCCCCTCTTTTACTTTTTTGTTCTCTCTTTCTCTCTCTCAGGCGATATGAAATTAGTCCAGTGTGCACCGACCTTCAGGGGCAGATTCTGAATTGCTACAGAGAAAATGCTGGAAAAACTCTGCTGTGCTCCAACATCGCCTCTCGATACATGCAGTGTGTCAACAGTGCAAAACAGGTAAATACTTGAGTGTGTGTCTGTGTTTATGCCTGATATTTTCACCATTAGATAGTTGTAGTTTAGTTGAATCAGATCAAAAATATCTGTGTAACAAGGTTTTTTTGTGTGTTTTGATTTTACACAAGTTTAAGAAGAGATTAAATGTAATATTTTCCAGAAATTTGCTATTTTTAATAAATTAGAATATATATTATAATTATTATATATTAAAATGTATTTATAATAATAAAAAATTTAACCTTTAAAAATATATTTTGAGACCGTATTCTGGAACACATGATAAATGTTTCAATATAATATGAAATGTTAATGTTTTAATATAAATGTAAAATAGGTTGTAGAAGAATTGAATTAAATCTTCACTCATGTAAGTCAAAAACTTTTGCCGCGTTTGCACATAGTGCTAGTAGTATGTATTAAGACACATTCTAGTGTGTGCGTCTTCTGTTTTGTATGTTCTACCAGTTCCCAGCAACCCCAGCGTACAAATTAGCATCTACAGCTGCTCTTTAGCCCACAGCATTAAGATCCAGTGAAACAGCCTTGCTGTTCTCTCCAAGCCCTGTAATAACACACACTCTCTGCCTGACCCGCACCTCCATTTGCAAATCCAAACTTCTGCCCAGTGTGCTCTCACTTTCCGCTTGGCTACAGGCGCCACTAAGTTCGCTCTAAATTGTAGGCTCAGACGAAAGACTCATTTCCATAATACCAGCTGACAGCTGCTGTTCTTGGTGCAGGCCTAAGTGTGTGTTAAATGAAGTAAGTGGGAACAGGGACGTGTCATTTAAATAGCGTCGTCCCACAATCCCCCGTTGCAGCATCCCTGGTCCGCATTCCGTAATGCAAGGATGGAAATGGGCAGCATTGGACCGACCCTCTCCGAAAATCTCCTCCGCACACTCCAGCAATTCCATGCAAACACAATTTATATTCAGATGGGTCTTTCCATTAGATTTTTACAACAGCACAGTTTGGGGAGCGAGAGCGAAAGAGTGTTGCCCTCTGGGGTATTAGTTTAAAGCAGCGCTGTGAATTCTGCCGCACTTAAGCAATACATCATGTAAATAAAAAGATGTTTTATTCATTGTTGTGTATGCGCCAAATTTACCTGAAACTTCTTTAGCATCTCTAATGTTTTCGTGTTTTTGTGTTTGCGTATATGCATGTTCTTGTGCGTAGGCCTGTTCTTAGTATTGCTGTTTGGTAAACTTAATATGGATTCCAATAATGGCATGAGGTATTTTATGATTTTATTGACTCGGCTGTGAGGAACAGAGGTTACCTGCGTAATAAACTTTTATTAGTCACACAGGAACAAAAAACAACAGCCAGATAACAAAATAGCTAAACTGCTTATGCGATTTGTGTATATGTGAGAGAAAGGGATGGAGGGCTGTGCAGCCAAGCAAAATATGTGTATTTTGAATATATGAAGAGCTATGGTTTGCTGTACAGCTACCATTTACTTCAGCAAAACACTTTTTTGAATGTATTATTCAGTTACTTTTGGAAGCCCATTTCCGCCACTGAATAAAAAATACAAATTATTATTATTAAATAATTGTGACTTTTTTAATCTCACCATTCTGACTTTTTGCTTGCTAATGCGAGTTTACATCTCACAATTCTGACTTTTTTTCTCTTGCGTATTCATTAAAATAATCATCATAAGAGTATTTTTTGTGCATCTTTACACATTTTTTCCTTTGTTTTGTTTTGTTGTTCTGTGTTTTGTTTTGTTGTTGTTGTTCTGTGTTTTGTTTTGTTGTTCTGTGTTTTGGTTGTTTATTTATTTTTTGTTCTTTCTTACTTCGTTTTTTTTCTTGTAGGCTTTGTTTTGTTTTTTTATTTTGTTTGCATGATCATCACTATGCATTAGAGATGTGTTGTGTATTTATTGTCTTAACATCAGAACCCAAACTTTTATTTGCAAACTAAATAAGCTATGGTGAAATATAATCATAGTAAATTAGATCAAATAGTGTTTATCATAGGAAATTAGATTAAAAAATGCTTTGTCTGGTCTGTAATATTTTGACTTGCATTGTTTTGATTTTAAAGGATGTGGGCATGTCAAGCAACCTTTCCATGCTGGCATCAGTCTAATTTAGCTAAATTTTCTACCAAGTAACAATTAATTTTCCACCAAAATGTTTGATTGGACACCCTGTGACCTTGGCTTTGACTTGCCATGTTTGGTAGGTTCTCCTTCAATCCCTGGCATTTTTGACTTCCATCTATCGCCACTGTAGATCACAATGTCTGATATGCTGTCCAGTCCTTGCTTGGCTGTCTGGATCTGGAAGTCCCTCAGGATCTTATCTTTGTCGATTTCAGAGAACAAGGACCGGATAGCTCTGTATATTTGTATAAACAAGTCTTATTGAAAGACTAGATAGAGTGGCTCTAATCAGTGGTCACCATTGCTAAAGAGCCAAAGAGGAATGAATTCCCCTGATACGGCCTGAGTAGTAGAGAGGGTAACAACTGTGATCGGTCACGGCTGTGGCTTTGTGGATGTAATTACTCCATGGTTTATCTTTGCTGGACTGATAATATTTTGGCTGTGACCTTCTTCTCCTTCTTCCATCACTTTGTGAAGCAGTGACTGCGGTACAACCCCGAGCCGATAGTGCCCTGAGCCCAGAGATAAAGTATACGCCCTCTTCCTCTCAAAGCACCATGAATACTACTTTATCACCAGCGATCTCTCATTCGCTCTTTCTTATTCCTAACGCGTGGTCAAACACTCCTCACCCTCCCTCCCTCTCACTCTTCTCTTCTCTCAACTGCCGTCCACTCTATCGGAAAGAGTGGAAGTGTTTGTGACTACAGCATCTGTTTGTGCCAAGGCTTATTTTTCACTGGCTCAAACTTGTGTCCTTCAGAGGTTTGGGACAAATGCCACCACCTGTTCGAGTGGTTTTCTCTAGTCTAGAACTTTTTGCATATTTTTAGCATTATGAAATCATGCTAAAAATAAACAGTGAGTGCGTGAGAGAGATACAGAAATGCATTGCCTTATTGCAGTGCCTTAAAGATTTATTTACGCCTATATTGTATATCTTCTGATCACAAAAAGAGATGATTTACGCTGCTGTTTTTAATACAATAAAAGTAAGTGGTGACCAAGGTTTTTTATTATTATTATTATTATTTTGTACTATTAGAGTATTTATTTTTATTTTATTAGGGTTTTTTGTTTGTTTGTTTTTTTGCCTTTTCAATTTTTTTTTCATTTTACTTTTAGTGTTTCTTATTGTGTTTTTATTTAGTTTATTATTTTTTTTGGTCACACTTTATTTTAAGCTCCAATTCTCGCCATTAACAAACCACTAACTACGACTTTTGCCTCAATAAACTCCTAATTTGCTGCTTATTGATAGTTAGTAAGGTATTAAGTTTAGGTATTGGGTAAGATTAGGGATGTAGAATATGGTCATGCAGAATATGTGCTTTATAATTACTACTAATAATATTTTAATAATAGGCATGCTAATAAGCAGTTGGTCCCTATACTAAAGCGTTACCATTTTTTATATTTCTATTTAGCTTTAAAAGCTTTCTGTCTTTATTTTTTAGTAATTTTAATACTTCAAGTTTAATAATAATTTATATCATTTATTTGGCAAGGCAACATTTTTAAATTAAGTTTTAATTTAATTTAAGTTTTCATCTAATATATGTAATTAATTTTATTTCAACTTTATTTCATTTATTGAAATAGATTTTTAATAGTTTTAGTTTTGTTAATAATAACAAAAAATTATTTATATATGCATATCTTCAAATTTGGTGTTTTGCATGTCTATATGTGCCATAAATAAGATTAAAGAGATTTTTGCATTTGCATGTGTTTCTCACATAAATTACTCATATGACTTCAGAAGATTTGGCATATAACACACTATTCATATGGACTGTTTTTATAGTATGTCATGGACTTTTATGATGTATTTTTCAGCTTGAAAGTTGGTCACCATCTACTTTTATTGTATGGAAAAGAACAGCGTGAACAAAAATTTACTTTCTTAATTAATGCCAAATATCCAATTTTTCTGGAAAAATTTATGATTATATAAAATGGTTGCAGCTGCAATTAATGAGAGTTCAAATAAGGACAGATCTGTTGTTTTCTCTCAAAACGTCTCTATAGCTTCTTCCTTTTTTATAGTCTTGACGACAGACCGTGACGCCCGTCTATCTTCTCCTCTCCTTCTCTTCTGTGCTCTCTCTCCTTCTCTCAATCTAGGGATTCATATTTCCTGTTATCGGGTGCAGTAGGCTGTGAGAGATGCGTATTGACGGGAAGAAAGAGCCACATGTTTGCGTTTGGTTGTGTTGGGGCTTTTTGCTTCCACCGTGGTTTGCCGTGTGGTTCATCTCTCAAGAATATGCACACATGCACTCACATTCACTCCTTTTTCTTTGAACTCTCTCTTTCTCCTTGTGAATTTGCATGCAAATGCCGTGGAAACGTGCCACTGCATCTCTTGCTTTTTTCCTAACACACACTCTTGTCTTTTTGTCTTTGTCTAGGACAAGTTGAGGACTGGAGGTTAAGTCTCTGAGCAGGAAGAGTGGAAGTTTGTATCTGTGATCTCACCGTTTATCGACTGTTGCCAAGGAAAGACGCCACCCAGAGACACACCTGAGCAGACCTGAAGCAGAATCTGCAGTGAATTGAGAGCTAGATACCCCTGAACCTTCCTTTTTTCCTATTCCCTTTTCCCATCACTTTTACCTTTCTACCTCCTTCCTGTTATTTCACCTTTATCCAGTAAAGGGGAAACTGGTATCCATTTCTGAAATGGACAGAATCAGTAAGCAGCGTCGATCATACAGTAGGTGGAACTCTAAGGTTCTGAGCACCTGAACCAGAATAGCACACAGTGAAGAGAACCGAACTAGACACCAAATATTGTCCACACTAGGCCAATCTAGACCCAACCACAACAGAATCCCAGAACTCTGAGTTGGTTCTAGATTTGGTCGGTCTGGTTTCGTAGCGTCATTTATCCTGTGATCCACCCTGCTAACCCACCACAATCCTCCATCACACTTCCCATTGCACTAGTCACATCCTCCAGCTGTTCGTTGTGTTTTTGCGTGTGATGTTCATTACCGTTTTTTTGTCTCGTAGTTCACACAAAAAGGTCAGGCCTGATCCCCTGATCTGCTTTAAAGAATAAACAATTCAAACCCTAAGCCACTTCTGACTGTGTCCTATCATTGTCTTAATACTAGGGCATGATTAAATGCATGTAATGAATTAACTACATGGCAATTCATTAATCAGAAATAATCACATGATATTTTATATAAAAGCCTACAAATCCGGTCTATTTTGCAATTGAATGAGATTTTGCCTTGTTCAGTCAAACCGCATACATTTTGTCTGCGCTATTTCTTTTAACTGGTTTTCTACGTTACATTGTGTCTCGCTATTTTTCAGTTTTGTGCCGTAAATGCGTGTTTTTAAATGCTTTTTCCATTTAGAATTTATTTTACTACAGTTATTTAAATTGCTCCACATATAATCAAATCAGATCCCATCTAGCTATATTTCAGTTCTTATGCCAAATTTTTTAAGTGCCGCATTTTTATAAAATGTTTAGAGGTTGTTGTGTTTTTTTTTTACTTTTTAAAATTATTTTTATTATTTAGAATTAATTTTACTACATTTACGAGTTAAATTGAATCTCAAATAATCAGAATTTCAGACCACTCTTTGGCAATAAGAGCTGCGTTTTTAAATAGTTTTTAAGATGCATAAACATAAACTTTTTATTGAATTAATTGTACTACATTTATATGATCAATTGAATCAAAAATAAATACAATATCAGATCAGTCTTTAGCTGTTACATCGTGTCTCAAATTTTTCAGACCTTGTGCCATTTTTAAAATGTTCTCAAGATGCGTTTTAATACTTAGTACTATTTTACTAAATGAGTTAAATTGACAGCATTTGTTACATTCCCTAGTGAGAAAAAAAAAACTAAAATATATTTGAAATACATTTATTTTGTGCCAAGTATACTACAAATACATTTACATATTTATGTGCTTAATAAAAAACCCTGCAATTGTACTTTTGGTATACTAAACTGAGACTGTATACTTAAAGTCTGCTAAATTGGAACAACTCATTTTGTGCTTAATGTACTTTAATTGTGCAGAAGTAGAGATGAAGTCCAACTAAAGATATACTTTCGATTGTGCTAAAGTGGAACTATTCCATGTGTACTTCAGGTTCACTTCAAATATCTAACATTTAAAGATTATAAAGAGATCGTACAATCCTTGTTAGTGATATTAAAAAAGCACATGGTAGGCATAATATTAAGAAATGCGCATTGTACAGTAAAGAAATACTCCAAATAAATTTTAATTATAATTTTATGTCAGTTAGTCTTAAGTGATATGTCAATAAATATATTTAAATTAGATCTAGTATGAATTAAATGTATTTTAAATAATGGCATATGGTTTTTTTATGACATTGAGTTGTAGATTAGGAAGTTTCATGAAAACCCTTTTTGCTATAGAGAATTGGGGAAAAAAACCGAGAGAGAACTGCAAAGAATGAGAGCGTTTGAAAGCACGTTTCCATCCTAAAGCGTAGCCGCTCTCTCTCTCTTTTATATCTCTTTCCCCTCCCTCATTCTCCTCACCATTTTAAATGTATCCGTCAGACTATGCAGTGTCGCTCCAGTAGTTCTGGAGAGCAGTGAAAATGCCTCTTCACTTTCAGGCTAAAACCCGCTTCACACACACATACACACATTTATAAAGTTGCCAGCCCTGAGAACTCCTCTCCATGCCAGATGAACATTCTCTGTGCACTGGTGGTCTGAAAACATGGCAAACACAAACATACCATCTCTACTGGATCTCCTTTTCTCTCTCATACACACACACACACACACACACCCAATGTTTGACTCCAGACACAGTTATGAAGGTATTGGAAGTTGGACTGACTAAATGAAGGCTGTTTTTCAGGTGATGCCAAGGCTGGATGGACAGCACCACACAATGAATCACAATTTCTAGGCCAAAGGTTTTTTTGTTAAGCATCTGGGAATGTGTTGAATCCTCAGAGACCCTGTCAGTCAGGTACGTTTTGTTCCAGTTGAGACCCTCGATAGTCAAAATGAACCTAATTTACTTCCTTAAAGGAATAGTTCACCCAAAAAATGAAAATTAGCTGAACATTTACTCACCCTCAGGCCATCCAAGATGTAGATGAGTTTGTTTCTTTGTCAGAAAAGATTCTGAGAAATGTAGCTTTACATCACTTGCTCACCAATGAATGTTCTGCAGTGAATGGGTGCCGTCAGAATGAGAGTCCAAACAAATTACAAAAACAAGACAATAATCCACAACTAATCCATGACGCTAGTCAATCAATTAGCATATTGTGAATTAAAAAAACTGCATGATTGTAAAATAATAATAAAAATCAATTATTAAGGTGTTTTAATTTTAAACCGTTGATTCTAGCAAAAATACCAACTCATAATGCACAATAACGCTTACTCCAGTGAAAAATTCTATCATCTGCTGTTCTCTCACATCAAAATCTAGCGACATATTTGTCTATAACCGTTTTGGACTGTTTTCACTTGTAAATGGTGTTTGATCAATGCATATTTCTCGATTCAGATGAGATGATTATTCGCCGGAGAAAGAAGTATTATGGGAAAAACCTGGAACCAACTTACAAACACGCAAATTTTCACTTTACAAGACATTAATTAATGGACTGGAGTCGTGTGAATTACTTTTGTATTATTGTCATGTTTTTTGTTTTTTATCAGCTGTTTAAACACTCAATCTGACGGCACCCATTCACTGCACGGGATCCATTGGTGAGCAAGTGATGTTTTGCTAAATTTCTCCAAACCTGTTCCAATGAAGAAACAAACTCATCTACTTTTTGTATAGCCTGAGAGTGAGTATATTTTTGTGCTGTCAAATGATTAATCGTGATTAATTGCATCCAAAATAAAAAAATTTGTTTACATAATATATGCGTGTCTACTGTGTACATTTATTATGTATATATAAATGCACACACATACAGTATATATTTAGAAAATGTTTACATGTATATACATTTATATTCTTATATTTTATATTATATATAAATATATTTAATATATAAACATAACATATTTGTATTAAATATATACATGCATGTGTGTGTATTTATATATACATAATAAATATACACAGTATACACACATATATTATGTAAACAAACTTTTATTTTGGATGCGATTAATCGCTTGAATGCACTAGTACATTTTCATTTTTGGGTAAACAATTACTTTAAAACATGTTTGTGGTGTATGTTAGTCCAGAAAATGTTTATATCTGTAATCTCTTGTCAAAATAGCTATCTCCCCTTTTCTCTGTTCTTACATTTGTAATCCGTATGATTCTTCATCTGTGCGCTAAATGGATCCATGCCCTTTATTCCTGCCAGTCTTTTCATGTGGCAATAAGAGCTGCGTTTTTAAATAGTTTTTAAGATGCATAAACATAAACTTTTTATTGAATTAATTGTACTACATTTATATGATCAATTGAATCAAAAATAAATACAATATCAGATCAGTCTTTAGCTGTTACATCGTGTCTCAAATTTTTCAGACCTTGTGCCATTTTTAAAATGTTCTCAAGATGCGTTTTAATACTTAGTACTATTTTACTAAATGAGTTAAATTGACAGCATTTGTTACATTCCCTAGTGAGAAAAAAAAAACTAAAATATATTTGAAATACATTTATTTTGTGCCAAGTATACTACAAATACATTTACATATTTATGTGCTTAATAAAAAACCCTGCAATTGTACTTTTGGTATACTAAACTGAGACTGTATACTTAAAGTCTGCTAAATTGGAACAACTCATTTTGTGCTTAATGTACTTTAATTGTGCAGAAGTAGAGATGAAGTCCAACTAAAGATATACTTTCGATTGTGCTAAAGTGGAACTATTCCATGTGTACTTCAGGTTCACTTCAAATATCTAACATTTAAAGATTATAAAGAGATCGTACAATCCTTGTTAGTGATATTAAAAAAGCACATGGTAGGCATAATATTAAGAAATGCGCATTGTACAGTAAAGAAATACTCCAAATAAATTTTAATTATAATTTTATGTCAGTTAGTCTTAAGTGATATGTCAATAAATATATTTAAATTAGATCTAGTATGAATTAAATGTATTTTAAATAATGGCATATGGTTTTTTTATGACATTGAGTTGTAGATTAGGAAGTTTCATGAAAACCCTTTTTGCTATAGAGAATTGGGGAAAAAAACCGAGAGAGAACTGCAAAGAATGAGAGCGTTTGAAAGCACGTTTCCATCCTAAAGCGTAGCCGCTCTCTCTCTCTTTTATATCTCTTTCCCCTCCCTCATTCTCCTCACCATTTTAAATGTATCCGTCAGACTATGCAGTGTCGCTCCAGTAGTTCTGGAGAGCAGTGAAAATGCCTCTTCACTTTCAGGCTAAAACCCGCTTCACACACACATACACACATTTATAAAGTTGCCAGCCCTGAGAACTCCTCTCCATGCCAGATGAACATTCTCTGTGCACTGGTGGTCTGAAAACATGGCAAACACAAACATACCATCTCTACTGGATCTCCTTTTCTCTCTCATACACACACACACACACACACACACCCAATGTTTGGCTCCAGACACAGTTATGAAGGTATTGGAAGTTGGACTGACTAAATGAAGGCTGTTTTTCAGGTGATGCCAAGGCTGGATGGACAGCACCACACAATGAATCACAATTTCTAGGCCAAAGGTTTTTTTGTTAAGCATCTGGGAATGTGTTGAATCCTCAGAGACCCTGTCAGTCAGGTACGTTTTGTTCCAGTTGAGACCCTCGATAGTCAAAATGAACCTAATTTACTTCCTTAAAGGAATAGTTCACCCAAAAAATGAAAATTAGCTGAACATTTACTCACCCTCAGGCCATCCAAGATGTAGATGAGTTTGTTTCTTTGTCAGAAAAGATTCTGAGAAATGTAGCTTTACATCACTTGCTCACCAATGAATGTTCTGCAGTGAATGGGTGCCGTCAGAATGAGAGTCCAAACAAATTACAAAAACAAGACAATAATCCACAACTAATCCATGACGCTAGTCAATCAATTAGCATATTGTGAA